AGGCAGATCGACAAAGTACACTGCTGAGGGGAGCAGCGGGCGGGTCAGGAGAGGTCTGCCACGCCATGTGGATCTCCTCCTGGGTAGGCGGGGATCGAACTCATGCGGAAGTGGCTTAAGCTTCTTTGTGCTGTGCTTTAACCCGCTGCCACCAGGGAGGGCCCCAGAATCCTATTTTTTTAAAGATGTATTTATTTATGCATACAAGAACCAGGGTATAGGCCAGAAACAGAGTGAGGAGCACAACAGGCAGATCTACTGAAATACACTGCTGAGGGGAGCAGCAGGTGAGACAGGAGAGGTCTGCTGTGCCATGTGGGTCAGCTCCCTGGCCAGGGATTACAACAGGTAGATCTACTGAAATACACTGCTGAGGGGAGCAGCAGGTGAGACAGGAGAGGTCTGCTGTGCCATGTGGGTCAGCTCCCTGGCCAGGGATTACACCGTGCAGCAGTAGCTGCAGAGAGCTTCATCCTGTTGGGTTCTAACTCCTTGCACTACTAGGGAGGCCTCTAGACTCATATTGAACTTGCAGATCATTTAAAAATACTGTATGTTTTAGTTAATTTCATTGATTTTTATTATTAAAAAAAAATGTTCAATGTGTTTCATGTCTGGCCAGTGAGCGCTCCTTCATATGATTCCTCTGTTGTTTTGGAATTAGCGTCGTAGTCTTGGAAAATATCTTTATTTTTTCTGGTAAATCAAGATGTTCAGGCTCATCCTGAACATTTTGTGTCCTAGACTTGGAATTAGCTATTTCTACAAGGAGCCCTGTGTTATCTTAGTGTGGAGAATGGATTTAGAGCACAAGTGTACTATGTCCCTTGATCTTTAAAAGAACCTTGCGAAATATTACTGTCCCAGTTTCCCAGATGGGGAAACAGTTTAACTTCTTTCCCAAGGTTATATAAATAATAAAAAGCAGAACCAGACTAAGTGAGATCTTCTGACCCCTAGATAATTGTTTCTTTCATGTTACTGTACTACTTGGTGTGAACTCATTACTTTTCATTTCACAGTTGCTAAACATCCTATCCTCCTAGCTTCTGAAGCAATATTTAAAAGCAGATGCCCTCTTTCTCTTACACTTCCACCTTATGATGCTAAACAAACATTGATGACACCATGGAAGTAATATTTAAAAGTGGACTTTGAATCTTGCTTAGGGTTTTGACTCCAGACTCAGGAAACAGGAACCAGCAATCATGCTTCTGGAGCAGACTTTAATTCCACATTTTATATGAATATACACAGATTATATAGTTCTGTCTCATTACTCTCTTAACAAATATTTGT